CCTAAAGTGGTGTCAAGACTCAAGAGACTAAAATAATTATTACCTATTTAATTCGCGTTTTTGACATTACTTGGGGGTCCAAATTTTGGGCTCTAAAACTCCTATTTCTTGGCCAATTTTTTATTTTTTCATGCTGATTTGAAGGCCATTAAAGCATTTGACCCAGTCAAAAAAGTTTCAGTAGTATATCTTTTACGGTTTCTGCGGAAAGTCGTGTAAAAGTTGATTCCGTGGTGTCAGTAAAATGGCACGGATAAATATATATTATATATATATATATATATCGTCTCGCTTTATATATAGTAAGATGGCACTATGACGAAACTCACTAATTATTCCTAAAAGTATAACAAATTTGGTATAGTGAAAAAGCTCACATTCTCAAAAAACAATTATCTGGGAACCCCAGGCTATTATGTTCATAATTCGGCGGAATGACTGGCTGAGCGCCGCCCAGTACTAAAATTAACAATGGTTCAAAAATTTTGAAAAGTCCGAGCAAGTTTAATTTTATCGTGCAGTCATTCTGGACGAATGTCTGGTAGTGGTACATTGGAAAATTTGGTAGATGTTTGACTGCAAGTAGTTTGCGTGAATATTGTTGTAATCTACTGGTTTATCTTGCTACTTTAAATCAAGTAATCACTAGTGATAACTAGTTACCACTATTACCACTATGACCACTATGACCACCATTACCACTTTTACCACTATTACCACTTTTACCACCATTACCACTTTTACCACTATTACCACTAGTAACTAGTGGCTGTTGTTATAGTGCTATAATCTACTGGCTTATCTACCTATCCAATTTAAACTGGTTAGCAAACTTTCAGTTATTATACATATTCAAATCGCCTGATCTAGCTGTGCTTCTTCTTTCAACAAAGTGCTCGAGTAAATTAATTAGGGAGCAAATACAGGTGGTGATGCAAAGTGTCCAACTAGTTTCCTGTGGGGTGAGATAGCAATCATCAAGTAGCAATCATCAGAGACATATTATGATACATGAAACTTATAATTGGATATGTAATTTTCATCACTTTGTAGCTATCGTACCTCTTAGTTTATGAAAGTTACTTTTCCTTTGAATTATCAGTTTACCTGCACTTATCAGTTCTTTGCTTCAGCTCAATTCTAGCGTCCATTTCCTAATAATGATATGGTTGTAAATTAAATTTGATTCAAATGCTATCACATGACATTGGCGTATAAATGTCGTCTAGTATTTGGGTTATGTTTTGTACGGAAATGTAGAATGGCTGCTTAAAGTCAATGCTAATGGTGATATCATTCAAATGAATCTTAAGCATCTTAAATTTGAAGTCTGTTTGATAATAAGGAGGGAGTGCCGAGTAGCACTAGCCGTCGCCGATAAAAATATTCTTTGAATTTTATCAATGGCACAGTCGACAGTCGTCGTTGGCAGTATAAATGACATTTATTATTGATGCAAGGGTGTCGCTGAATAGATTCAAGAATGCCTTAGAAGGCAAATTTCTTTAAATTACGTGAAAGCACACATGCTTGTAAATGTTGTTTCGAGACAATATACAACTTTCGTGTTGTCGCATATTTCAAATTCTGACATGTTCAAATAATGGTATTTTAACAATACATATTTGACAATTTAATAAGGTTTCTATTTATAATTTAATAAGGTTTCTGTATATAACTTGTGTTATAACGCCACTTCCTAGCTGGAGTAAAAGGAAATATTGGTCAACTGTTTTCGGTAAAGAGGCATTAAAATAGCGCGACAGCCTATACACAATTGATGAATATATATATATATATATATATATTACTTACGTCAAACATATTTATAGTTCATACTCAGTCTCATTTTTAAGCTGGCTACAAATGCAATTAATATTTAGCTTTATGTGAAAACCAAAAGATCAGCATGTAAATATTTACAAATTGAATAGCTATCAACACATCGAAAACACAGCAATAATATTTGTTTGCTGGTACGCCTAGCCCTATAGTAACTTTGTAGCTTCATTTTCACATACCATGTGAAAATGAAGCTACAAAATTGTGCTATATATATATTACGTAAACGCGACAAGTTCTTACTGCTAATTTAGTTATCCTTATTGTTTGGTATTTCAAAGCGGAATTGCAAAGTTCAAACTAACTTCACTTTAGAACTATCAATTAAATTCAATTATCTCTAGTGCAAGGGTTACCAATTTAAGCGTGATCTTCACTATCCAGGTTGTAGTTGCATCTTTTTTGACTCCAGTTTTATAGTTCAAATATTAGCTGTTGGGGAACTTTTCAAAAAGACCGTAGTAACCATAACGAGCCAGGATTAGCTTAACCATAACGAACCAGGAGTAGTAACCATAACGAGCCAGGAGTAGTAACCATAACGAGCCAGGAGTAGTAACCATAACGAGCCAGGAGTAGTAACCATAACGAGCCAGGAGTAGTAACCATAACGAGCCAGGAGTAGTAACCATAACGAGCCAGGAGTAGTAACCATAACGAGCCAGGAGTAGTAACCATAACGAGCCAGGAGTAGTAACCATAACGAGCCAGGAGTAGTAACCATAACGAGCCAGGAGTAGTAACCATAACGAGCCAGGAGTAATTAATATAACGAGCCAGGAGTTTGATTGAATTCATAACCACATAATTAATAAGTTATCACATTATTAAACTTAGTGCAGGATAATGAACATCCTCCGCTTGAGCCACTGTAATTGTGCCGTTACATATCATATAATTATATATTTACAATTTATTTGACATTAAGAAGATAATCATAAACCATATCACCATCAGAAGTTTTACTTTTGCAATTTTAGTTCAAACACTTTATTTACATCCAGAAGGGAAATATAAGGTACTAAATAGTACACCTACAGTCTGCACACTTCCAAATCTTACCAATTACCATGCCTCCGTAATACGCCACTAAACATATATTAAGTTAGAGCTAATCATCTGCTAATACGCCACTAAACAATAAACTGCACTAGCCACGAAAATGCCACATTCAGTACCCCAGAATTAAGCTAATTAACTATATCAGTGATCTCACTGATCAATAATTCAACACTTGGCCCTGGCTCATGATGTTCAATCACGACATTTAGGGCCACGGTATCTGTATTCTCATCAGTATAGCTGTTGCACTCTTGGCGCAGTACTGTTTATTGACTTGGATTGTAGCTTTTACCTTGCTGGTGGATGGTCGGAGAGACCTGCAAGGTCTCATACCTTGTGAAACCATTACTCAACTGTAATTAACTATAATTTGCAAATTACCATTAGTAACCACCAGTGCAGTGGAAGTCAACAGGAACTGCAACCTGTGAAATAGCAGGCTTCGGTTAATGCTTTTCGTGAGGCTCATAGTTTTAAGCTTGCATTTTTTTGTGGCTATATTTTTGTGGCTAAATTTTGTCCAGTTAAAAGCGGTTTCCTGAATCATGTATTATAGAGCTTGTATTGTATAACAACACGTACTTGTATGGTCATGTGTAGCTCAATAATAAATTCACATTTGTTATACTGTTACCTCAGTATAACTTAAAGCTTATGATGGAAAGTTAGTTTCTTTAACAGCCTTCCGAAAGAAGAAACTGAAAGAAACTGAGACTTCGTTTGGTATTTATAAGGAGACCCACGTCCCACAACGCAAATACCCAATTTACACCATACCCAATTTACACCATACCAAACGTTTTTTATCTATTTTTAGTTTCAGACGTTAATATCAGCTAATCGAAACTACTTTAAATTCACACGTGGCTATCACGTGATTATCACAGTGACATGACGGGAAATGTACAGGGCTGATGAGCAGGAGGGATGGGTAGAAGACGCGGCACCTCCGGCAAATACAGAAACCTCTCCCAGGTACGGAGACCAGCCCTTAAACCCAACAACCCTGATGATCTGGGGATCCTAGCGGAGGAGTTCGGCCCCCACTGGAGGTTCAGAGAGGAGTTCAGTATACTGGACTACTGCACGTGTAGGTAGAGCTAAAGAGCTGGGTATTTTACAGAACAAACGGCTAACAAACCAGCCGTCATACGGCTTGTTCGTAGTTTAGAATTACTGGTGATAGTTAATGAAAATAGCGCAGACGGCTAGTTTCCGATGTTAGGATAACTAGGGTCATAGTTGCTGCCAAGTTAGGTAATTGCAGCAAATTGGGCGACAATGTGCTAACTAAAGAGGCGGCGATGTGTTGACGGATGTGATTACTATACATGAACTTGATTGACGTTAAGGTATAAATAAGTGCAAATATTTCGCCCGATGTGTCTAGTGCAGGCCTAATGCCTTTTGGTCCATGCTATTTACGATTGTCAGCTTGCATTTTGCTCGACCATTGGTACGCTTTTACATGTTTTGCTCACGGCCGGGCCGCAGCCGCCAGAAAAATAACATTGCGTCACCGGCTAAAGGTCCTCTGGCGGAAGATTGGCCGCCTAATGTTATCATACATAATAACAGGCTTGTTAAACGGGAAGCTGTTGCTAATTTCGCAGTTCATCCCAAATCTAGTTTGAGAAGATCAAACTCAAGGAGGAAGCGCCATTTGGAGGAGTTGAAAAGTATGGGAAATTTTGTAAAATTTGTAATGTTTCTGCATAACAAATATTTGATGAGAGTTTCTGTCACAAGAACTGCCGATAAACGACCACCTAACTTAAAATCCATCAAATCGTATGGCAAAATTATTCACTCATTCACTAATAATCAAATAAATGACTACTCAAATATTTCTTCATAGTTACAGGCGTGCTTCGGCAATAAGTCCAATCGAAATGCGAATCAGTCGAAACCGAACAGTTTGCATCCTTTCACCTTATGATAGACATTAGACATATGACAGATGGTTGAAAACTATATTCGGCGGATCCCCATTACGGGGGCACCTGTAACATAACCATAAGTCATGATTGTATAATGATAATTATAACTTACCCCAGATTACTGAATGACGCCCTCTAACCATATCCTGTCCGCAGATCACGTGCTTATAGCGTTCATAGTACTGATAGTGGTGGTAACTACAGTGAGTCTAGCTATAGTCCTGAGTCCCAAGCAGGAGCTGATACGCACCCATCCTAACATACTGGTGGTCATAGCAGATGATCTGGGTTACAATGATGTGGGTTATCAGGGACATGGGGACATCAAGACTCCCTACATAGACAGATTAGCCAGGTAAGGACAAGTCAAGGACTGCTAATTTATTAAATGTGGAAACTGCAAGATCTTTGTTTTTCCGCTTTTAATACTGAAATGATCTTGCTTTCTAGATTAGCCAGTGAAAGTGAATAATTGTAAAAGAAATTCCTTTGGACTTTCGTGAAATTTCGACTTCCGTGTGTCGTTATAGTCGTTATTCGAAGGAATTATGATTACTGTTCAATATTTTTAATCATCATGACGTGTGTAAACGACAAAGATCTTTTCTTGGGAAAAGCAACATTTTAATGTTGCGTTACATGCTACTCTCATAATTACTAGATATAATCATTAACTACCTTAGTAAATGTGTAACAAACACTCAGACACCCAGTGCATGTCCTCAGCCTCAGAAATGCTTCTTTCCTTCTCACATGATATTTAGAAATTTCAAGCAGCACAACAATGAGATTAATCAGCGATTGTCCCACCCGAGGCAACATATAAGTGCGGCAAAATTTTGCGAAAAGTGTGATCCCACCTAAAATCGCTTAATGTGCAGCAAGTGTGCGGCGAATATTTTTGAAAAGTGCGGCGAATATTTGTGAATGTGCGGGCAAACGTGCGGCAAATTTTATTCAATTAGGTATGTCTTTCAGCTGTGTTGGAAAGGTACTCAAACATTACTACATGGGGTTAGTTTAATAATTCTTTCTTTAACATAAACAGGTAATTACACGGTTTATAGAACAGTTTTCCTCGACTCAATAAATAAAGTGGGAAAATAAATTCCTCAGCTCTAAATGCAGCCGACAAAACTTTTCGCTTTTTAGGAGCCGCCAAACTATACTGCTAGGATCGGATGGTGGCGGTGCAGGACGTTTCAAAAACGATCCATAATTAACAATCAAAGAATCAATTAGTGTAAAAGCAGACGATTTATCAATGAGCAAATCCAATTACAGTGAATACGGTGACGTGGTAACAAGAAACTCGGCCCAGTATTTTTTACTGAACTCGGTTTTTCGATATATTGTTGGTTTTTATACCTAAATTTGTAAATTTTCTAAGAAATCCATCCTTCAGCTCGAGTATCATACTACAACGCCACTACACCCAGCCAATGTGCAGTCCATCCCGAGCAGCCCTGTTTACCGGCCGCTACCCTTTCCGCTATGGGATGGGAGGCAGTAGAGCTATCTACTACGGGAGCAAACACGGTCTGGACATCTCAGAGTATCTCCTTCCTCAGGTATTTTGTTAATGATGAGTTGATATATCTCCTACTATACATCAGGTGATAATTATGAGTTGATTCAGCTCTCGTTGGGAAAATGACCAAATCTTTTTTAAATTTAAGTTATTCTGGGATACATTTATTTTGAAAGGAGCACTTTCTCTCAGATAAGTTAGGTGGTTTAACTGTATTTAAAATTTGTGAACCAAATTGAAGTATTCGCTGCTGGGAATAGTTACAAGTTGATTAGAAATGTTGACAGCTGATATTGTCAGGCGCTCAAAACGGCTGACTACAAAACCTATCTGATAGGGAAGTGGCATCTTGGTTTTGCTGGCTGGGATATGACACCGACTCGGTTAGCAGACGTTACTTTCTTAATTTTCATCACTAGTAACCATTAGTAACCATTAGTAACCATAAGTAACCATAAGTAACCTTAGTAACCGTTAGTAACCATAAGTAACCATCAGTAACCATAAGTAACCATTAGTAACCGTTAGTAACCATTAGTAACCAATAGTAACCATTAGTAACCATAAGTAACCATTAGTAACCATTAGTAACCATTAGTAACCATTAGTAACCATTAGTAACCATTAGTAACCATTAGTAACCAGTAGTAACCATTAGTAACCATTAGTAACCAATAGTAACCATTAGTAACCATAAGTAACCATTAGTAACCATTAGTAACCATTAGTAACCATTAGTAACCATTATTAACCATTAGTAACCATTAGTAACCATTAGTAACCATTAGTAACCATCAGTAACCATTAGTAACCATTAGTAACCATCAGTAACCATTAGTAACCGCCAGTTACCATATAACCACCGATAAGGAGTAAAAGTCGACTTTGGTAAATGAAATTGTTTTATCCGACCATGTTGATTTTCAGCCCGTTTAACTTTATTGACACAATATGCATTGCACGAAATATGTAATATCTTTGTAACATAGGCACACCAGGTACTATCTGATTCCATCTTTGTCAACTATTAGTGAGTGATAATTTATGTCACAATCTTCACTGACTAATGATAAAACATATAATAAAACTCTCACAATTATGTGACTATATTTGATGTTTTAGTTGTAACTGACAATGTGTTCACATCACATCACAAAATGAAGCTAAACGAGTCATTAATCGAGCACCCTCATCATTTAATTAGCAAACTCTTCAAATCATTTAATATCACATCACCCTAACGATCATCTCGTGTGAAATTGTCGTTGCAACTTGCTATTTGCGACACTTAATTCATCAGTTACTCCCTCGAGATATTTATATTATTGTGATATTATGAGTTATGTCGACAAATATTAGTATGATAAACACTACACGATGGATAAATATTCTGAGTTTTAGCTCAATAATAAACGTACAACCCACAAAAACTATTGGTATGACGCTACTGCAAATTAGCAACTCCAATTTAGCTTCTACGAGGGTTTCCAATAGAAAATCACTAAAACTTACTTTTAAGTCGACTAGTCCGACGTTGGGTTAACTTTATGATTAATTTTTTGTCACAGATAGTAAAGAAATATATAATCTGAAACTTGATAATCAAACGTTCAGGCGGGGTTTTGACTACTTTTATGGAACTTATGGCGGGAGTACAACCTACAAGAGTCATCAGAGTTACGAAGGTCCCAGGTCTGGGAAGGGATACGATCTGTTTGAGGATATAGCATCTGATCAAGGTTTGTCAGTAACCAGTAGTAACCAAATTAAAGTTACGATTTAAATGAAAACTGTTTCTACTGGGCCGGGTTAATCACAAGTCAATTAGTTATTAGAAAACATTGTCAACAAATTTGAACCTTGCCTCCTATGTCCTGCGGGGTTCTACTGCAATCCGGGGTTTTAAAGCAAACTGGTACATCTTTATCAGTAACATGTTTCTGACTTTATAAGACACGCACAATTTGGCAGTAACACGCAAGCACCTTTATCATATCTTTAATTTATTGATGAGCATCTCATGTGATCTCCAGAAAAACATGCGGATTCTCAAAAAACAATCCTGCTTCTTATCAGTGAGAGTCACAGAATTATTATGCAAATATTTTGTTAATTCTCCTCGGTTGAAAGGTTTAAGGAGTTACAGGCTTCACTCCTTGTCATCTCACTCATCATGCAAACTGAATTTCTTTGCTCAGATAGACAGCATTATTATATCAGACTTACTCAAACAATCTCCATTCCCATTAAAGGTGTTAGAATTTGATACTTGATAACCCTATACTTGTCATGATTCTGTTGTAATATGAAGAGTCATATTCTTCAGTCAAAGTTAAACATCCTCACAATTTTTAAATCCGAAAAATGCGAAGTTTATTTTTAGGTTATATTATAACTGCAATCAAAGTCATTATCTTGACCTATATTCGAATTTGATCACAACAGTTTAACTTCAATACTTAAATTATACGACCAATACCGTCTAAATTTGATAACTCAAACGAAGATGGCAAGATTTGAACTCAACAATCCCTGCAACCGACGGTTTTATAAAGATTTTATAAATACAACAGCTCCTCATCTGAGTCTTTCGATTAATAAGATAACCTTCTCACATTTCAGGTGACACAAAAGTTAATCACACGATTATCAAGGATCCAAATGGGACATTTTCGGAGCTGCTGTTCACTGAGAAAGCTGTACAGATCATAGAGGAAGCTTTTCCAGTTAACGATGAGGATCAAGGAGACGGTAAGATTGGTACAAATTATTTTATAAAGTTATAACTAAATTTTGATCATTTTCGTCTGAAAAAGTTAATCTGGCAGATTTGCGCAAATTTTTGCAGACTTCTTAATAAGAAGTATATATACTTATAGTTAAGTGAATGCCAAAGTAACAAATTACCGGAAAATGTATGGTCGGCAAGATATTTACCACAAGATGTGACGCAATCTTTAAGTTAGGTGCAGACAAGAACGAAATGAGGACAAACCTAAACCCATCTTCATGGTGATGTCCTATCAGAATCCTCATGCGCCCATTACCCCCATGGACGAAGACGTCGCACAAAATGAGGATATCGAGAATGAGGTTCCTCTTTCTTACTAGTAGTTTTCGTTTTGGTATTCGCAGGTAGGGACACTTAGCTCTAATTTTAGTGTTTCAATACTCCCGGAGTGATTGTTGGACTACAAGCGTGTAGAATATGGTCGGGTAATTCTTGCTAGAATTAAAGTGTCCAATTGAACAGAACAGACGGAAGATGGCCGCCATGATAACTAGCTTGGATTATGGTGTAGGACGGATAACATCAGCTCTCGAGAAGACCCACCAGTTAAACAATACCATCATCATATTCCTCAGTGACAATGGTGGTAAGTCCACCTGTTACAGATCATAATATGTAATAACCATCAAAAACATGACCAAATGAAGGTCATTTGGCAGGATAGTGCATGAATGTAGGGGAACTTGCTCTCATTATAAGATTATAGAATCTACAATTTTCAGGACATCTCATGATGCCGAGTGGGGAGAGTCTGGGCAGCTCCAACCTGCCATTCAGAGGAGCAAAGTGCACTTTATACGAGGGTGGTGTTAGGACCCCTGCTTTCATTAAAATACCTCATTTAATTACACCAGGTAAATACTTGCTGGTTCATACCTTATTAGCAGCGTCAGGTCAGTAGCTACAGGTCAATAACCTGAGGTAAATTGTGTTTACTGAAAATGTGTAACAATATTAATGAGTCTGGTGATGTTCAGGTCAGGTAAACAGCTCAGTCAAGTACGATGGACTGTTCCATATATCTGACTGGTTCCCAACTATCGTCAGTCTCGCTCAACTTGACCCACGACTTTTGAAGAAAGAACTTCAGTTTCAAGATGATAAAAAACCTTACCTTGATGGAATAGATCATTCAGGTGAGGAAAGCAATGTACATAGTATCTTAGTATAGTATGTTTGTTTAGATATGCGTTGATCAATCTTTTTGCATAACCCTGTATTGAAATTATGCATTATAACTTTATAACGAATCAATGACACAAATAATCACTGATTCACTGCACCCGTTTTGCGACTTTCCCATAAATTGAGTTAAGGCCACAATCCTTGTTCATGATGCTCCCGAAATTTAATCATCACCATTTAAAGACAGCGATTGGTTACCGATAAATATATTTTAACTTCCCCAATTGTCCAGAGACATTCAAACAGCTGCTGGATGAGACCCAGAAAGCAGAGGCTCCTCGCGACCACGTGGTATTAGACATTGACCCTGTCTTCAACCAGGCAGCTATCATTAAGGGCAAATATAAGCTTATTGTTGGGAAGGCTGCCTTCATGGACTTCGACCAAGTCTACCCTCTCATTGATGTTAGTTTTATTTATGTGTTTTAGGAACCGACTGCAAATTTAATCCGGTTCAGTTCACTGTCGCGCAAAAAAAATGCAGGGGCTATTTTTTAGGGCATAGGAGAATTTTTGCAGTTGCGCCAATCAAATTCAGCCAAATGGTAACCTTACACCATTGACAATCCGACCCGCCCTGTTTTATGTATATTATTTTCCAGTTGGGCGACGCCCACGCCTTTTTTAGTTATAGGATCCTACAGAACTCTTCTTACAGCATATTGCAAAACTAAAGTTTAACTGTGAATATAATTGAGCCAGAGGCAACATACTCTTCTCCTTCTTGATATATATTAATTAATATTTAATGCTAAATTTGAGACCAATTATTAAAATCAATTTTATCTCGTCGTCTGACACTGATAGCCGTATTCCGAACTTTGAGTTTACTTTTAAGAGGGGAATAATCTTAGAAATGAATTTATTAACTTTATTAAAAGTACCTGACGAAACAATTTATTAGATTGAAGATAGTTGATGCTGTTACTATAACTCTATAAATACCTGCAGATTAAACTGAACGCCCTCCATGTTAAATCATCCTTTAGAACCACTGAATAATGCTTTATAGTCTAGACTCACCACCAAATTTCATCACCCCTATTAAGATACTTAACCAGCTTTCAACCTCCCAGGACAATTCCATCCAGAACGAAGATATAGTGGTAAATGCAAGCTACTACAAAATCAGCCCCAACATTAGCCAGCAGATGCGTGCCTACGCAGAGACCCAGACAAAATACGCTGCAGACCCGCTGAAGTGCCTCAACCTGGACTGCATGACTAAAGATAAATTGCTTTTTGATCTCTCCTGGGATGTGACTGAGAGCAACGACTTATCCTGGCGCTTCAGCGCCGAGACAGACGAACTTTATGAAACCCTGAGAACATACTCAAACCGAAACCATAAGCCCGTGGAGCCTAAGTTTTTCGAGGATCAAAACGAAGAAGCTAAGAAAGATGATGTTTGGACACCATGGCTGTTGAACTCAACTGAAGTGTGACAGTGCTAGCGTTATAGTGACAGTATTGTCAGTTTCCGGATAAGAAGAGTAAATCATGACATCAGCAACAGCATCAGAGTTAAACAAGCCACGAAAGTGAAGTAACAATGAGGGGGCGAATTAATGAGATCATGACTTAAATTCGGGCTAGTATGACCTTGCTCTACTAAAAACTTAAAAAGTTAGTCATCAGCCATTTGATTGAAATTGGTTGCTAGATTTTTAGATTTCTAGACTAAATGTTGATTTGAAGTAAATTCATGAACAAAACTTTTCAATAATTTATTACTTTCGATATTTATGTTTTAAATTGATTTTTACAGTTTTGGGTGGCCACTGGATCTCACCTTGTAATTTACACATGTTTGAGAACACCAAACTATTTTGTTTCTATGATCTATTAGGATAATAAAGTAATAAGCATATGAATGTTTTTTAAGCAGGAGGGGGGAGGGATCTCGAGAGGCACGGAAAAAGTGGAGAAACTTTTATATATCCACGGTAATCTGCGCAATATCAGTACATCTGAAAAGACTGGTGCAGCTGCACGTGGTAGTTCTCTTTTACACTACCTTAGTAAGATGTAGGAATGAAGAATTTTTAAATTCGTTATCCTCGTAATGTAAACTTAAAGGCAGACGCACGTAACACTAACACACTTTACCGCACTTAAACGCACGAAAAAATCTTCACGAACTAAACGCACTTTTCCTTGAAAAGTAACGCACGAACCAACTATGACTGCCACCATTAACAATAACTGTGAGCAAGTTTTACGCGTGAGCGAAAACGCTAACGTTTTCAATCATCTTTTTATTCAAAACTCTCCACACGACATAGGTTTGAGATTTATTGACAAAAATGCCATCCAGAGCACAGCTTTCATTTGGAGTTTTCATTTGATTGGGCGACATCTGTCCGACAGCGACATCTGTCCGACAGCCGAATTAGGGATTTCGGACAGATGTCTTTTTTGGCGACATCTGTCCGAATTTCGGATCATATTGTAATTTCCCTACAGTCCCCCACTCTAGAGTCCCCCGCTCTAGAGTCCCCCGTTCTACAGTCCTGCTCCCAATTTATCGACATCAAATGAAAATAAACTATGGTACGGTAGTAAAATATGGCTCAGATCATATCTCAAATTGGAAATGTTACGTAATACAAATTAGCAAGTAACAGTTCAGATCATGTCTCTAATTGGAAATGTGTCGTATTGAAATCAGATCACAATTTCGAGATGTCGTTTTTTTCTGGTACGGCCCTGAGTCGGACAGATGTCGCTGTCGGACAGGAGTCGTGTTACCATTTCATTTATAGCAGACCATATAGTCCATACTCCATACTATATTAAAATAACTTTCTTTTGTTGCATGAGCGAATACTGTTGCTGGTTGAGCGCTGGTAGGGAACCGTTTAGGAATGAACATAAAATGGTCTACATGATCAGTAACCTGATCTGGTTACACGTTCCGGGAATTAACCCGAAAACATATCCCCAGTTTCACGATATGGCACCCTACCAGTACCGGTGGTCCGGCAGCAGTATTCGCTCACATAACCGTGAATTTTAATTTGTCCGAGATTGGTCATTGAAATAAAACATAAAAAGTGATGAGGATATCAGCAAAACGCTCCACCCCTCAGTTTTGCCATGGCAACTTTACCGTACGATGGAGTTTCCTGTTTTGGTCATGTAATCAGCAGAACATTTAGTTCAAGCACATTTTAGCTCATGTAAGATAAGAATTAGAAATCAAAACATGAACAAATAAGCAGGACGTGGTCCGTCCATAAAACAGTACTTTATAGAGCGCAATTGGTCGGTCTTGCATCACGTGACACGATGATAATCACTTGATTGATCAGCTTAACTCAGCAACCATGCTGCCCTGTATTTAAACTCTCATTTCTGTTTGTATCCCTAAACAATGTGCTGTTGCTTTATCTTCCGTTTATCTTCGTCTGTGTTTAAAATTCGGATTTAATTTAATTCCTCCCTTCCGTGTAGTAAACGGTTTACAGACAAACAGACCGTCTAAAATTTTCGTGCTCCCTTCTATTACGCTTAATTATATCTGTGATTTTGCCTTGAACTGAAGAGTTTGCATGGCGAGACTTAGATCTAGTGAGCCAAGCTTCTATCTAATAATTCGACAGTTAGATAGTCATGAGCCGAGACTTACAGAAAGTAAGCTATAATAAGACACTAATGACCCCTGCTGACTTTTTGTAAAAAGTTTCTGAAGATCAAAATTTCTAAAATCATTTTCCGAATATTTTTGTAGAAACGTGTAAAGAAATTTTCCGACCTGTATATTGCTACAACACTATATTGCGAAACCACTATATTACGATACTTAATAAAGTGCTGCCTTTAAATACTGCTGTTTTCTCCACTTTTGATAATTAATAATTGAAATTTCTGTCTCGAATAAAAGGTAACATTCCCCTAATAACGGACACGGCTTACATAAATTTCCGTTGTAATTGATGAGCGCTAAATGTTATATAATTTGTAATAAGGTGCAATCAGCTATGTTTAGCGCTTGTTTGTATTACAAATGAGCGCCAAATATAGCTGATTGCACCTTATTTATCAATTAACTGTTTTAGAACAATACTTCAATCGATGAGTCACGCACACTTTCTAGAGACAAGACCGTGACAAAACAGCACAATACTTGTTGAAATTACGACGATGTGAACGAATGATCTTGGGAATTCCAACAACTTTCTTAACAACTATTTTACATAATTACTGACCCAAAAAGGCTTCATATGTACTAAAGCAAATATGCTCACAATTTTCGAAGGGCAATTATTTAAAATAATTTGCATATTTTGTCAATAATAAATTCTTGCCTTGCCCCTCTTTACCTCTTATAGCTTTACGAGCGATCAGAGCTTATATAGACAGCTTTAAAATCATAACGTTTCTGTATTTTTCCGTAGTTTGTCAATACTTGATTGAGTAGCTACTGCATCAGAAAAGTTCGATTCTATCTTCATGGACTGATCACTGTATTTTCAGCATTTTTATTAAATACTTTTCAAATTTTACAGAGTACAGCAATAGATGAATATAAAATAGAATCGTTCAAAATATCGCCCCCATCTGTAAAATATTATGGGCACCCAAACACGGTAAACACATAGTGAACTATGTCCGCAGTAACTTGGACCCATTACATCGAATCAATCTAAATCCAAAAATTTATGAAAAACTATTTAATAACAAACAAATCCATGGTGAATAACTGTAGATATATAGTCAAAATTGGTATTTCAATACGTCAAATTCCAGATACATTAGATACAGGTCTGATATGGTCATTAATGTGTGAGAAGGTGTGCGGGTGAAGTGTGATATGATGTTGAAAGTATAGGAAGGTAGATAAAAAAATTAATAAAACAAAAATAATAATAATATGGGGAGCAAAGAGACTAGGCTAGGCTGTTGTTTCACTATCCAATAAACATTTCCATAGATGCTTAGTGACCTCAGCATCACTCCTGATCCTTTTCAGTTTTCTACAAAACATTCTAGCTAGTTTGATATAATCTCAACAAACACCATCTTCTTCAATTTCGTTCACTTTCAGTCTAAAGATGGCCAGATTCTTATTTCTCTCGTCTTATTTAGCAGCTACACTGGATATAATGTCTTTATATGTGATATCACAAAGGGATGAGAATTGTTATGGTACATGTTGGTATGACGTCACAATCCTAACAAATTTCCAGACTTGTTATTTAATATAAGGATGTTAGATGACAAATATCATAATCCTTATTCCTTGCTCGATATAATTTGAGCTAAGTGATTAAAAAGATATGGCCTAGTTTCAATCCGATAATATTTTTATAACAAATACCCGAACATCTGTTATTTAAAGCAATTCTTGTGCACAACCATATTTGAATTAAGAACAAGTACGAACTTGTTCATAAAAATTTCAATTATTTCAGTTGTAAAAAAGCGTTGTTAATTAATTAGAGTCTTATTTCGGTATGGTTCCCTTGATCATTCACCAATGAACTTATACTAGCATTTTAAGGCCTAAACCACACACATGAGAAACATTTCTGATTTTTTCAATTTAGATATGCAATATGTGTATTATTATAATCTTAGCACGGCCAAAAGTTGTATGGCCGTGAATTATGAGATAAAATATATTATTACTATACATTTTAAATCCGAGAAAATCTGGTCAAACTTAAATACGTGTCGAACTATAGAGATCGTGTACCTTACCATACTGAGGAATATTATCAAATTCAAACTAGATAATTTGTTGTATATACCCTCTTACCTTGCCATACTAACTCTAAGCTATTTGAGTATTATAAATTCATGACAAAGTTGCGATTCAAATAACGCGCGACTTTCTCAAAGTTTAATTAGCGAGGCTTCAATCAGAAATAACTATAAGCCTTATACCTGCAGTGTGATTGTTTGCTGTGATCGAGCTGTTGTCACACCTTGCGTCCACGCTGTCGCACGTGGGTTGGCCAATACACTTGCAGAAAATGAATTTTATGATGAAGATTGCGTTTGATCTGCATAAAATCCAAGGCTTTTATACGGTTTCAGCAAAGTTTTTGATCAAATTGTTCAATATGCTAATATGATCGGTGGGTTACCATCAAATTTCTGCAAGACTCTCGCTAGAAATTGGAAGGACGCAACAATCGTCCCCACTTTGTTTCACTGAAATGGTTGGTGCAATCAAAGAATCGGTGGTTATGCCAAGTACTGGTGATTGTGAATCATTTCGAAATCCCAACAAATCTTGCTTGTTGTCACAACATTCGCAGATTACAAGGTTTGTGATGTACTTGTAATTGCACGATTATTATGTAAACTGGCTATATATTCACCTGCAATTATATTCAATTAAATATCCGCTGGAATAGTTACTGCCGGTGGTTACTAATAACCACCGGCAAAAAACAGGCTCAAACGGATGGTATTATCTCAGAGGAGCATTCTAAACTTTGGACAATCCAAGCAACCGGACACACCTTGGTGACACCAATTAATACAGTTCAATGCCACGGTATAATCATATGATTGTAATGAAAAACGTCAAATTAATAGGAGAGTTAGAATTAACCCAAATATCAGGGACACGAATGACTACTCCAGGATTTAAGAAACTAAACTTTCAACACTGAAAACATTCAGATTCTTGCCAAATATATTTCGATTGTAGTCATCTCCAGTGACATTGAACCTAAAAAATGTTAAAAGGTTAGTGAAACTCAAACCGTTACAAAATTAAGAATCCGAAAAAGTTAAAAAGATCATATTAAGGTTTATGGAATATAGGTAATCCAAAGGGATTGACAGTATTAAGGCCAAAAGGTCTA